GCCAGGACATAAACAGGCTCAGTGGAGCTGCTTGGCACAAGGAGGGGCCTTAGAAGGCCCTCCCAACTGCCTCTGGGTTCACAGGCCTCAAAGCCCCTGAGCATTCTGCAGTGCCCTATAGGTTCCTTCCAGAAACTTGGGGGCTTTGTTCTTGTTTTGAGGGTTTTTTTTTGTTATTGTTTGTTTTTTTGAAACAGTGGTCTCCTGTAACCCAAGCTGACTTCAATTTGATATATAGCAGAGGGTGACATTGAACTTCTGGTCTTCCTGCCTGTCTTCCAAATGTCACTGTTAGAGGTCCTCACCATTATACCTGGATTCCCTTTCCACTGTTTGAATCCAGATTTATGAGATCCAACCTTCTAACTTGCTAAATGGTTCCAGTACCTTCTCACTTCTCATTTACTCTTCAGTGGTACTGGGGCTCAGAATAGAAGGTCAGCTGCCTCCAAAGGCTTAATGGGCTATGAGTTTCTCCACCCTATCCTTGCTTCTATATCCAGGGATGGATATGGCCCCTTCCATTCCCACAAGAAGGCAAGAAGGCAGAGCTCCTACTAATTCTTTGATGGGGAAACTGAGGCACTGTAGTTGATAAATATCTCCCCCCCCCCGTCCTAGCACAGCAACTGGGGGTGAGCTCCTACCTAAACACATGGAGAATTTGGTGAATCATTTCCCCAGACTAAGTGGGCTAAGTGGCCTAGGAACCATCAGAGGGTGGGAGATGAGAGATGGAAGGGTGTGTGTGTGTGTGTGTGTGTGTGTGTCCTCAGACAGGGAACAGCAGCCACCTAGGGGATTAGCAGCCTATGAGCAGGGCACTGGTGGGATTAAAAGTCCCCTTGGAGCCTGCAGAAGCTCTTTTCAAGGCTGAGGAGGGAGGGCTCTCTGGCCTCCTCTGTGGTCAGCCTCCTGTGCGTTGAATGTGCCCCTACCCCCCTGCACTCAGTGCACCCCTGTCCAGCCCTGGGCCCTCTCCTGCAGGTCAGGACCCACTTTGACTACTGCCTTCTTGCCAGACTTCTGCCTCATTTGCTAATATATCCACTCCTCCAGCTGCACTGACTGACCATTCTAGACTAGTCCTGCGAGGCTGCCTCCAGCCCATACCACCCCAACTCATCCTTCGAGCAGCCTTGGAGGGGCAGCTTCAGGGGCTCTAACATCTTCTTCACAGGGAAGTTGTGTTGAGAGGATTTGCTCTGCCTGTGTCTCCCTCCCCGCCACTTTACTGCACTCCTAGTGAGATCTCACTCCCTATAGGCCTGAGGGCAGCTGGCAGGTAGACAGACCCCCATTTGAATAAGTGATGAGAATAGCCCCTGGTTAGCAGCTGCCCCAGGTTGACATCAGCCCACCCAACAGATGGGCCAATCAAGGCAGAGCTGTGTAAAGACAGGAGTGTGGTTTTTGCTTTGCTCCCTGCCATCTTGAGGGACACAATCTCAGTGAGAAGTCCTCAGCTTCCTTCTTTCCTCTTCTGACTTCTGTGCATGGTACCCGCTCCCCCGCTCCTCTTGTCTCCTCCCATCTCTTTTGTGACCTACACCCTATTGTGTGTCCTATGCCCATTGCCAGCTCTGCCCTTGCCCTCGTTGTCTGAGGTATTTGAACCCCAGCAGCCAGTCTGGCTCTGGCTCCCCCACACCCCCAGTCATCCTGAGTCCCTGAGGCCTCATTATTAGGGTAGTGGTGATCCTCCCCCGCATTGTCTGGCCTATCTGGCCCTGGCACGAAAGGTAGAGTTTTGGCAGAGAGCAGAGGCTCGGCATGATTCCAGCGAGTTCTCTGCAGTGTAGATAGAGCCTGTAATGTGTTTGGGGCTAAGAGGCCTGGGGAGCCACAGGGCAGCCCCTGTCACTAGGACAACAGCAGGGAGGCCTGGAGGGGTCGGGAAGGAGGAGAGCAGGTGGCTCTTTGTCTGGTGCCTGATCCCAGCCCCTACATCTTCCTCTGCAGGCAGCAGGCAGCCCTGAGGAGGCCCCTGGGAAGGGACTGTGGACTGTGTTCCCAGCATGTGCAAAACCACTGGGCTTCCTCCCTTAGTAAGGCAGAGGAGTTCCCTGATATGCAGGGGACCCTTGACCCCTGCAGGACGCAACAGACATCTTCCCAGGATCTACAACCCAGTCCTGAGGTCAAATGGCGTGAGTGCAGTCAGGGCCAGGCTAAACAGTCCCCATGTAGAGAGAGAGTCAGGACTGGCCCTTGTGGATTAGGGTAGTGGTCTCCTGCACCAAAGCCCCATCGACTGTTAGCAGTTTCAACCTTCCCTCTCTCTGATCCCCTCCCTCTCTCCCTCATCTCCCATCTCTGCCCAGTTTTCACATCTGAGCAGCAAGGAGGCCAGGCTAGCTCTGTTTGGACCCCTTTCCTACTGAAAAAAAAATCTGTTTAGGGGAAAATGGAGGATTCCTGGAGCTCTACCTCTCCCTGGTTAAGAGTACCTGTTGCTCTTCCAGGGGACCTGGGTTCAATTTCAAGCACCCACTGGGCAGCTCACAACCATCTGTAACTCCAGACACACATGTACTACACAGATACACATGCAGGCAAAAATTCATACATATAAAATTAAAAATAAATAAAATAAAAAAATAAATTCTCTACATAAAGAACATTAAACAGTATTTGGCTCATGAAAACATGGCTAATATTTGGTGCTATAACTCTTTTAAAAATTATATTTAGCCCGGTAGTAGTGGCAGCACATCTTTAATCCCAGCACTTGAGAGGCAGAGGCACGTGGATTTCTATGAGTTCAAGGCAAGCCTGGTCTACTGAGTGAGTTCCGGGACAGACTCCAAAGCCACAGAGAGACCCTGTCTCGAAAAACCAAAACCAAAAAACAAAACAAAATTATATTTAATTGGACAGTGGTGGCACATGCCGTTAATCCCAGCACTCAAGAGGCAGAGGCAGGAGGATCTCTGTGAGTTCAAAGACAGCCTGGTCTACAGAGTGAGTTCCAGGACAGCCAGGACTGTTACACAGAGAAACCCTGTCTAGAAAAATAAATAAATAAATTTCATTCAGAGTGTGGGTGTGGGTATAATGTTTCTGTGTCTCTCTGTGTGAGAGTTAGAGGACAACTCAGTTCTCACTTTTCTGTTATATTGGTTTTGAGGATTGAACTCAGATCATCAGTATTAACTGCCAAGTGCCTCTATCTGCTAAGACATCTCCTTGCCCCCCCCCTTTAAGTCTATTATTAGCTAGGTGTGGTGTCACATGCCTTTAGTCTTAGAACTTGGGAGACAGAAAGGCAGAGCTATGTGAGCTCAGTACCAGCCTGGTCTACAGAGTGAGTTTCAGGACAGCCAGGGCTATATGGAGAAACCCTGTCTCAAAAAACAAACAAAAAATCTGTTGTTGTTATTACTATTACTAGTATTATTAACCTGTGGCAGGGAGCTTGTGTGGGAAGATCAGAGGATAGCTTTTGGGAGTCAGTCACTCCTCCCTCCAGCGATCGAACTCAAGTTGCTTAGCAAGGACTGTTATCTGTTGAGCCATTTCATCAGCCCTGATGTTTTTAGTCATGAAGATCCTTTTAAATTTCCTGAAATACTTGGTGGCAATAAACAAATAGGTGTCATGTACACCTGATGTTGGGGAGGAGAGTGTGATCTGAACATGGACTTTCTTAGAGAATTCTCCTAAAGAGTTCTGGGGAGAGCTGAGGTGTCCCTGGCAGTGACTTCTGGTTGTCAGTCTTAGATTGTCGAGACACACTGTATGTATAATCTGCTTTCCCGAAAACCCTTTGTTAGCCTTATCCATAGAAAGGGGCAACACGGTTTGACCTTCCAGCCTCACCACTATACGTTCCCAAGGTCCATTGCAATTTAGCGCCCGTATCCCTAAGTGGGTCAGGATCCCCTTTGACCAGAGTACTTTTGGTAACACAAGAGATAGGGTGTCATTTTCTGGTAGGGTACAGAGGGCCGGCTCTGGGTGATGAGCTCTGTGGAAAAGGAACAAAAAGAGATAAAGGCCTTTTCTCCCTGAACCGAAGAGGCTTCTCATGGAGAATTAGTACCTGTCTGTTCATCTGAACATCCCATTTATCCATCCAACAAATGTCAATTAACTGCCCATAAGGCGGACGCCGTGACAGGAGGCACTGGCCTGGGAGGAGTTGCAGCCCTGTAGCAGTCGTAGCTACAGACAGGTTGGGTGGAAAGCCTGGCTGCTGTCTAGGGCACAGGGGAGTTTCGGGGACTCAAGTGAATGGTGTAATATACGCATGTGTCCACACAAACACAGAAGCGCTCACCCCCAAAACCAAACAGCAGAGAGCATGTCTTCAGTGAGTCGGCCACCCATGAACGGGGTGTGAGCAGGACCCTGGGACTGGCCATGAGGAAGCTGGGTGTATCTCCTGCACAGGGGAGGCTCGGGTTCTTTTGTTGTCCCAGAAGTCCTTTGTCTCCTCCACTTAACTGAACTCTGTCCCAGCTTTCCTTCCCACCATTAGGAGAAGTGGAGGCAGAGGCCTGGGGGGAGAGCTGTAGCTGGATGATAGAGTACCAGTACCACTGAAAGGAAAATCAGCTGGCCACGGTGGTGCACACCTTTAATCCCAGCACGCGGGAGGCAGAGGCAGGCAAATCTCTGAGATCGAGGCCAGCCTGGTCTACAAGAGTGAGTTCCAGGACAGCCAGAGCTGTTGCACAGAGAAACCCTGTGTGGAAGAACTGAAATCATTATCATCAGCTGATAGTGGTACACAGGCTTTGCAGGAAGGTTACTTCTAGAAACAAAATAAAAGACCACAAGAGAGTAAAGGAGAGGGGCTTTCTTCCTCCCTGTCTCAGTTTGCTTCTCCTCAGGAGGCTGTCAGATTGGATGGTCCTGACTGTGTCCTTAGAAATGTCTCCATGGGCCCTTGTGGGGAGAGGATGGGGGTGGGAGGGAGGGAGGTCTGGGCCCAACATCAGCACTGGAAGGGATGGTACCCCACTGACTCCTCTGCTCTCTGTGCTTCACCTCAGTTTGACCCTGGGAGCACCGGCTACATCAGCACAGGAAAATTCCGGAGCCTCCTGGAGAGCCACAGCTCTAAGCTGGACCCACACAAAAAGGAGGTGCTGCTAGCTCTCGCTGACAGCCATGCAGATGGACAGATCTGCTACCAGGACTTTGCCAACCTGGTGAGCATTCTGGAAGGGGAGGGGCTTAGACACTGGAAGTGGTTTAGGCAAAGGGGTTTCTTTTTTTTTGTTTTTGTTTTTCGAGACAGGATTTCTCTGTATTGTTTTGGAGGCTGTCCTGGAACTTGCTCTGTAGACCAAGCTGGCCTCAAACTCACAGAGATCCTCCTGCCTCTGCCTCCCGAGTGCTGGGATTAAAGGTGTGCGCCGCCAACGCCCAGCACAAAGGAGTTTCTTGACTGACAGCATTTGAGCAGCCACAGCTTCAACAGGTGAGAAGACACCACAGTCACTGAGGGAAACAGCTCTCACCTCAATGGAGGGGTAGGACATGGTTTGTTCTGGGGCAGTGTGAGTGACCATGGCCTGAAACCCTGTGAAATACCGTGTTTCCAGGGCACAGTTTCATATAGGCTTTTATAGTCAAAGAACAAAGACAGTTATAAACCAAGACATTTTTTAGAAACACCTTAAGTGAAAACTTCAGAGAAATGAGTTAAACAAGATGGTAGTTTTTTTCCTATAGACTTCAGATACTGACACACACACACACACACACACACACACACACACACACACACGCACACACGCACACACACACACACACAAATCTCAGGTGCTGCCCAATAACATTCTTAGCATTTGGATTGATGGAAGCTAGTGGTTTGCTAGGTTAATAAATTCCAAAAGGGTTAGGTGTGGTGGCATATGACTTTAGCCCCAGCAGAGGCCAGCCTGGTCTACATAGTGAGTTCCAGATCAGCCAGAGATACACAATGAGACTCTGTCTCAAAACAAAAACGAAAACAAGCAAAATAAAATAAATTCTGTTAATTATAGCATGACAAGAGGCCAGAGCTCTTAGAACTGCTGGTGATTGTCCCTATTCATGGGAAGGTTCATGAGTCCTGCCCCTTGTCTCTGTTACCTTTGGTAGAGAAACAACCCCCCCCCGCCTCCTGGGGGTTGATGCTGGTCTTTCAGAGGGTGCTGTAAGTGGGTACATTGGGCTTCAGGTGGCTTAGGCAAGCCGCATTTCCCCACTTCATGGATGGGACATCTATTCAAGCTACATGAACTAGCAACCACCAGGTGAAGCAAATGGCTCTCTGGGGGCCAGGCCAAGACTGCTGAGGGCATGACCCAGTCTGAGCCCTGGGCTCAGCAAGTATCATATGTCCCAGGAGACACTGGGGTGTCATGGCTTCCATGACATTGGGTTGTGATTCTGGCAGTTTCTAACAGCTGGCTGACCAAGACCTACTTGCACCTCCCCAAGCTGGTATGTCTGAGGATGCTCACACACCACTGGTCTTCACCTGGCCATCACCTCCTTCAGGAAAGCCCTTGATGACCACCTTGAGACACATTGGCCCGCATCACATGCCTTCCCATAGCAGCTGTCACTCTGAACTGTGACTGCTGATTTCCTCTCTGTCTGCTGACCACCGGCTGCCATGTCTGGGGATGGGAGAATAAGGAATGAGTGGGTAGGAGGAATGTATGAGTACAGGCCTAGGTTTGAACCTGTGTCTTCTTAGGTGCTCTCTGTACCTCAGTTCCTATTAGGAAGATGATCTGTGAGGTCAGACGTCCACACAGTGGCACTCAGGAAGTGCTACTCAGAACACAGAGAAGAGGGTGTAGGATTGCTCTAGGGAACACACAGGCTGAGGTGTGGGTATGGTGCTCCTGCTGCAGGCTCTAACCCTCTCCCCACCCCATTTCCTGTGCAGATGAGCAACAAGAGATCCAACAGCTTCCGTCAGGCCATCCTACAGGGCAACCGCAGGCTGAGCAGCAAGGCCCTGCTGGAGGAGAAGGGGTTGAGCCTCTCACAGCGGCTCATCCGCCATGTGGCCTACGAGACTCTGCCTCGGGAGATTGACCGCAAGTGGTACTATGACAGCTACACCTGCTGCCCACCGCCGTGGTTCATGATCACAGTCACCCTGCTAGAGGCAAGGACGAGGGTAGAGGCGGCTTTCTAGACCTGGGGTAGTGTCGGGAAAGGATGTCAGAGGTTCTGAGGGGAGAGGGAAAGCAGGACAATAACAGTTGTCCTGTAAGTCAGAGCCTTGCTGGGGAACCCCCAGGGTTATACCTTGGACTGCAAAGACAGTCCAAAGTTTGGGGGCTTTGGTGTGTGTGTGTGTGTGTGTGTGTGTGTGTGTGTGTGTGTGTGTAAGTGCACATGAGGGAGTGTCCACTGAAGCCAGAAGAGAGTGTCAGATCCCTTGGATGTGGAATTACAGGCTGTTACCTTGTGTAGATGCTGGCATTATAACTCCTCTGGGAGAGCAGCAAGGGCCATCTCTCCAGCCTCTTGTTTGCTTTCTGGATTTTTTGTTTTTGTTCTTGTTATTTGTTTTGTTTTGTTTTTTGTTGTTTTGTTTTTTTGAGACAGTATGTTACTCTATTCTCAGGCTGGCTGGATCTCACTAAGTAGCTCAAGCTGGTCTCTAACTCTTGATCCCCTAGGCTTGGCCTTCAGCTCCCAAGCTGGCATATGCCAGTTGCCTAGCCTACGAGCTATCAATGCGCAGTCTCCCAGGCAAAGATTACTTGAGGCAATTTTTTTTTTGCTGCAGCAAAGTCCCCATATTTCTTCACCCTTCAAAACAGCAAAACAATGTGACAAACTCATGGATTTGGGGATTTAGCCAGACAAACTCCATAAAGCCAATTTATGTAAATTCCTCCCCTGGAAGACTAGAATGACAGCTGTTAGCCTCTTGGGACTTAATTTTCAAACTGTAATGCAGGAGTTACCAGAGCTTTCCCATGCTATCACTGGAAGGACACCTCCATAGAGTGAGAGAATAACTGGGGTGCTTCCTGAACAAAGATGTGCACACTTGTTTATGAACAAGAAATGAAGTTTTTGCCCGGCGTTGGTGGTGCACGCCTTTAATCCCAGCACTCGGGAGGGAGAGACAGGCGGATCTCTGTGAGTTCGAGGCCAGCCTGGTCTACAGAGGGAGTTCCCGGACAGCCTCCAATACAATACAGAGAAACCCTGTCTCGAAAAACCAAAAAAAAAAAAAAATGAAGTTTTTAAAGAACATTTCCTCTTTAGGGAATCTGCCATACGTTGTTTAAAAAAACTACAAGCCAGTTCTTCTCAAAAACAAATCATTTCAACCAAGAGCCATTCATTTTTCCCACGATATATTGTGTGTGTGTGTGTGTGTGCGCGCGCGTGCGTGTGCGCACATGTGTGAAGCTTGTGAGTAAGAAGAAAGCTTCAAATTCCCTGGATCTTTTTTTTTTTTTTTTTTTTTGGTTTTTCGAGACAGGGTTTCTCTGTGGCTTTGGAGGCTGTCCTGGAACTCGGTAGTTCAGGCTGGCCTCGAACTCACAGAGATCCGCCTGCCTCTGCCTCCGGAGTGCTGGGATTAAAGGCGTGCGCCACCAACGCCCGGCTCCCTGGATCTTGTTGACAGTTGTGATCCTCTAATGTGAATATTGGGGATTGACCTGGAGTCCTCTGAAGGAGTAGCCCTTCTAGCCGTACTTGCTATCATACAAAAAAGCCTGCACTGACTCCCCAGGTGCTCCTTCTGTGTCTTGCCCCTGTGTAGTGAAACTCAGTTCTCAGTTCAGCAGGAACCCCAATAGCCCAGGCCACCTCTGGCTCCTGTAGGGATGCCTGGCTTCCCTTTGGCATTTTCAGTCCCTGGCCATTTCTCCTCCAAGGCCATTGCCACCTCTTCTGCATGAGGTCTCATGATGCTCCTTCTTCCTCAACTGGCCGGGTCACTCAGTTTAGTGGCATCCTTTTTTTTTTTTTTACTAAATCAGAAGTAATTGGTCTGGCTGGGCTTGGTGACTCATACTTGCAACCCCACAAAGTGCCACCATGAAATAAAGGACAGGCTGAGCTACATAATGAGATCTTGTCTCAAAAAAACAGGACTGGAGAGATGGCTTGGTAGTCGAGAGTATTGGTTGCTCTTCCAGAGACCTGAGTTTGATTCCCAGCAACTACATGGCAGCTCACAGCCATCTGTAACTCCAGTTCCAGGGGATCCAACTCCCTCTTCAGGCCTCTGGATGGCACCAGGCATACATGTGGTACACAGATATATGTGCAGTCAGAACATCTACAGACATGACATAATAAAAAAAATAAAGAAAAATATTTTAGCTGCACAGTGGTGGCACACCCGGGAGGCGGGGGGGGGACGACACAGATCTCTGTGAGTTTGACTCCAGCCTGGTCTACAGAGCGAGTTCCAGGACAGCCAGGGCTACACAAAGAAACCCTGTCTCAACCCCAGCACCCCCAAAAAGAAAAAAATATATGTAAGAATTTCTAAAAAACAAAACAAACAAAAACCAGAGACAAATGAAAACCTACACTCTCTGTTCTGCAGGTAGAAATCTGTTGTTATGGTTTCACTACAGCACATGCTGCAATGATGTTTTTCTGAGATTTTCTTAGATATGTTCTTCTACAGCCTACTGGGTGGGACTATTTATTAATGTCTTTTTGAGGACCAAGAATAATGAGATACCTTGGAGGCTTGCTTGTTGCCAGGACACCTGCATGGCATTATGTAGAAAAAAAAACAGTGTGTGTGTTTGTGTGTGTGTGTGTGCGTACATGCATGCGTACATGTGTGTATGTGTGTGTGTGTGTGTTAGACAAGCACACTACTGCTGGTCTCTATTCCCAGCTGCCCAAGCAACTATTTGGAGAACAATAGGGCACATAGCCTTTGTAGTCTAAAGCTATGTCCAAGCATGCTCCTTAATTATAGCTTCCTTCCCTGAGTGTGTGCTGCCTTGAGGTGCCCCTTTATGTTATATTATACTTGTTTGCTGTTATTGTTATTTTGTCGCTTTGAAGTTTTAAATTACATTTATTTATTTGTTTACTTGCTTTGTGTGTGGAGAGAATTCGTGTACAGTGCCTGTGTTTATGTGAGAGGACAGCTTGCAGGAGTCTGTTCTCTCCTTCAACTATCTAGACTCTAGGACTTAGCTCAAGTTGTCAGGCTTGTTGGCAAATGCCTTTACCCATTGGATCATCTGTCCCATCCCCACCCCCACCCAATTTTTTAAAATATCTCCTTTAGTTGTTCAAGATAGGGTTTTTCTATGAAGCCCTCCCTGCCCTGGTCCTTGCTTTGTAGACCAGGCTGGCTGACTTGTCTTCAATTTTTATTACATATATTTATTTTATGTGAATAAGTGTAAGTATGTCTGTGTAACACATGTGTGCAATGTCCACAGAGGTCAGAAGAGGGTATTAGATCCTCTAGAGCTGTAGTTATAGATGGTTGTAGCTTGCCATGTGGGTGTTAGGAACTGAACCCAAGTCCTTTGTGCTTTGTTTAATTAATTAATTAATTTTTTTTAATGAGTGTATGTTTGCCTGAGTGTATATATGTGCTGGCAACCCATTTTGTTTTTTTAAGAAAGAACATACTGGGGCTGGAAACATGACAGTGGTTAAGAGCACTGACTGTTCTTCCAGAGGACACAGGTTCAATTCCTAGCACCCACATGGCATCTCAACTGCCTATAACTCTAAGATCTGACACTCACACAGGCATACATGCAGGCAAAACACCAATTCACACAAAATAAAAAAATCATAAAAAATATATTTAAAAAAAGAAGGGCTGGAGAGATGGCTGGACTGGAGGGATGGCTCAGAGGTTAAGAACACTGACTGCTCTTCTCTGGAGGTCATGAGTTCAATTCCCAGCAACCACATGGTGGCTCTCAACCATCTGTAATGGGATCTGGTGCCCTCTTCTGGCCTGCAGGCATACATAGAGTGCTGTATACATAACAAATAAATAAAATCTTAAATAAATAAAAAGAAAGAACATACTGGTGCAGGGTGTACTGGTGCATGCCTTGAGTTCCTTCAGTTGAGGCAGAGACAGGCAGATCTCTGAGTTCAAGGCCAGCCTGGTCTATAGAGTGAGTTCCAGGATGATCAGGACTACACAGAAAAACCCTACCTCCAAAAAACAATAAAACAAACAAACAAACAAATAAATAAGAAAGAAGTAAAAGAAAGGGTTTCACTTTTTATGCCAGTTACCCTCAGACTTACAGTCCTCCTGTCCTGCTTCTGGAGTGCTAAGACCAGAGCTAAATGCCACCACTCTTGGCTGCAGTATCACTTTGAAGCTTGTGACCCCTGGACAGTCTAATTATTGGCACCCTTTTTCAGATACAGAAATCAAGGACCAGTTAATTCGAGTAATTTGCCTAAGTTGCTCCAAAGGATGTCCAAGACTGACTTGGATTTTAAAACTATACAGCTATATGAATTTAAGTCATTGATACAGAAAAAAAGGGAACTCAAACAGCTGATTTAACTCTCTTGGAGACCAACGCTTCTGTTTTCCATAGAGCTCTAGTAGTTGGAGTCTTTGATTCCATAACAGATAGAAAATGAAGGAACACGGAGCTGCCAGCCAAGCCCAACGACAGCAACACTACAGAAACCACAGCTGGCAGCAAGAGAAGAAATTCAGGGACATTATGTTCGGAAGGGAAACCCCACCCTCGTGGATTTCTGCACTTGGTAGCCCGGCCTTACTTTTGTCTTGCTTTGTTTTTTGAGACAGGGTTTCTTTGTGTAACAATCCTGGCTGTCTTAGAACTCACTCTGTAGACCAGGCTGGCCTCAAATTCACAGAGATCCACCTGCTTCTGCCTCCCGAGTCCTGGGATTAAAGGCATGCGCCACTACCGCCTGGCACCCAAATATTCTTTTTTTTTAATAATTAATTTTTATTTTATGTGCCTTGGTGTTTGGGCTGCATATGTAAGAGTGTCAGATCTTGTAGCTACAGACAGTTGTGAGCTGCCATGTTAGTGCTGGGAATTAAACCTGGGTCCTCTGGAAGAGCAGTTGGTGCTCTCAACTGCTGAGCCATCTCTCTCTAGCCCCTCCCCCAACATTCATAAGTGGCTTTGCATATGCTCTGATTATGAACAAAAGGACACAGTGATTATTTTTACAATGAGTTCCAGATAAATCATCAGAATAAATATTTTCTAGGGCCTGGGTAAATATACTTAGTCATCTGAACAACAACAACAACAAAAAAATCAACATATGTGCTGCCTAGGTAAAGATGCAGAAGAAACCAGAGACTGTGCTGTTGATGTGAGTGTAAAACAATACAGCCACTAGGAAAGTTGTCTGGCCTTTCTTCAGAAAATGAAGCATGGGGCTGGAGAGACAGATCATTGGTCAAGCACTGGCTATTCTTCCTTCGATTCCCAGCACCTGCTACACAGTGGCTCACAGCCACCTGTAACTCTAGGTCGAATGCATCTGATGCCCTCTCTGGCCTCCTTGGGCACCAGTTACACACGTGGTGTACAGATGTGAATGCAGGCAAAACACTAGCACCCATCAAATAATAACTTGTTTTGTTTTGAGGTGGGTTCTCTGTGTAGCCCTGACTGTCCTGGAACTCGCTCTGCAGACCAGGTTGGCCAGGAACTACTCAGAGAGATCCACCTGCCTCTATCTCCCAAGTGCTGGGACAAGGTGTGTGCCACCTCATCTGGTTTCAAATAATAATAACTTTTAAAATTTAAACTTAAGATTACAACATAGTAACAATTCCACTTCAGAGTTAAAAGCAGTGAATAGAGGAGCTACTTGTCCACTTTTTCATAGAGATACTCACAATAGCATAAAGATGGCAGCAATCCAAGTTCCCACTGGCAGAAGAACACGTTGTCAAAGAGAGGCAGATACATACACTGGAACTACTTAGTTCCGTCCAGCGTGTTAGGGTATTCCTGTGATTTTAGTACTTGGGATGCTGAGGCAGGAGGATCATGAGTTAGCAGGCAGTCTGGGCTGTATAGTGATTCTAGACCAACGTGGGCTACCTGGTAAGACCTTGTGTCATAAAAAGAAGAGGGGAAAAAAAAGAAACTGACATGTGATAAAATCAGGTCACCCTTGAGAACATACACTTTAAAATCAGCCAGTGACAGAAGAAGACCTGTGCATCCCATCAGCAAAGAGTTCCTGGTCATGGGTACAGAGTTTTAGTTTTGCAAGGTGAAAGGAGTTCTGTGGAGAAGCAATAAATAGTGCCTGTAGCTCAGCAAGGATACAGTTGGTGCCATTCAGCTGTATGGTGAACACTGGCTAAGATGCGAAATGTAGGCTAAGATGGACAGCTGGGGAAGGCACTTGCGGCCAGGTCTGGCAATATGTGAGTTCAGTCCCTGAAACCCACATGATGGAAGGAAAGACCCAAATCCTGCAAGTTGTCCTCCGATTTCTACAGGGTACCATGGCACACAAGTGTGGGGGCATACACCACACACACACACACACACACACACTAAATAAATGAAATATAAAAAATTTAGCCAAACAGTAGTGGCAAATGCCTTTAATCCCAGCACACAGAAAGCAGGTGAATCTCTGAGTTCAAGGACAACCTGATCTACAGAGCAAGTTTCAGGACAGCCAGAGCTACAGAGAAACCCTATCTCAAAAAAAAAAAAAAAAGCAACAACAAAATTTTAAAGCTGCTAAATTTTATGTCTATTCTACCACAATGTCTTTTTTTAATTTCTCTCTTAAACCAACCTATATGAAATGGGAGAGTGAGGTTTTACTAGAATTAAGGTTTAAAATCATACCCACCAAGGAAGCATAGACAAAGAGATCAAGTTACCCCATTGCACAAGAGTATCAGGTGGAAGTAGCATAGGGGATGTTTTCTGATAAGTGGGTGCTGGCTATGGACACCTTTCATGCAGGTGGGATTGCAGCCTGTTGCCATGTGCCCAGTGCCTGTCGGGAATACCCTCCTGAAGGAATCCCAGTCTTGTGCCTAGTAACTGGCCCCTCCACTCCATGCTTCATCTAGGTTGCCCTTTTCCTGTACAACGGGGTCCTCTTGGATCAGTTTGTGCTGCAGGTGACACATCCTCAGTACCTGAAGAACTCTCTGGTATACCACCCTCAACTCCGTGCACAGGCTTGGCGCTATGTGACATACATCTTCATGCATGCAGGGTAAGTATGTCTTTTCACAGTTCCTGCAGAAGTGTGAGTGGCCTGGTTACCTGGAGTGAAATTATTACATATTATATGTTACATATGAAATATATACATTTTATATATAAAACATTACATTTACATATGTATACTTTTAAACTAATTTTTTTTTTGAGAGAGAGGGCTTCTCTGTAGCTTTGGAGCCTGTCCTGGAACTCACTCTAAAGACCAGGCTGGCCTCAAACTCACAGAGATCCACCTGCCTCTGCCTGCCAAGTGCTGCCATTAAAGGCATGCACCACTACCGCCTGACTTTAAGTAATTTTTTATAGTATTGAGGATTGGATTTAGGGTCTCTGGAATGCTAGACAAGTGCCCTAAAGCTGAACCCCAAACTCTGGAATTAAGTTTTCGATTTACTTTTATTGACTTGGATGCAGATCTGAGATAGCGTCTTGAAACTCATTCAATACCAGACATACTGCCAGTGTGTGTGCTAAAGGGCAAGCAGAGAGTGGGATGCTGAACGCCAGCAATGAGATTGACACACACACTTCACAGTGCGGTTCTACGCACTTCCAGACACACACTTCACAGTGCGGTTCTACGCACTTCCAAGAGGTAGACTGAAGTGTTCTGTGCTTCCTAGTAGCCAAAGCAAAAAGGGTCATGTGAACAACCAGCCACCAGAGTGGTTCATAATTTGTGTGTGTGATTGTTGCCACAAGCCAAGTAAAGGACTAATTTATTAGAACTACTTATTTCCCATCACGGTCTGTTCCAGAGGAAGAAAGCCTGGGGTCTCTCCCCTAGCCCTGAGAAGTTTGGAGTGAGTAGAGTGGACGGGCCCCTTCTCACTCCGGAAAGAGAACTTCTCTCTGTAAGACTTAAAGAGAAAATGTTGCATTGCTAAGTTACAAGAGGTCTCTAATGCTTTGAGATGTTTTGTGAGCACTTGTGATCTCAGGCTCCATAGTGCTTGTCGGTATGGTGAAAGATTGGAGTGAGCCCAGAGCCGGTGAGTGACTCAGGTCAAGATGATCAGACACCTGGGCTGTGACTTCAAGCTACTCACTGCCACTCTCTGAACCTTGGCATTGCCCATGTTAACCCCTGGTGCTGCTAGGTCCTGGGCATGGCTAGTCCTTGTCACCGCTGCAGATGCAGACTGTACCTGTCACCACCAGGTCCCTTATGTGTATTCTGTCCCCTCTGGAAGGAATTTTTTTCCATGACAGTCGTCCCTTCCCCAGCCCATGAGCTGCTCAAAGGCAAAGGTATACCTTGTACCCTCTGGCTCCCCAGTATCTTGGCACGCAGTATTTTTCAGGTGAGTTAATGCATGTGGTCTGTCACAGGGTAGAACACCTAGGACTCAATGTGGTGCTGCAGCTGCTGGTAGGCATGCCCCTGGAGATGGTGCATGGAGCCACCCGAATTGGGCTTATCTACGTGGCTGGTGTTGTTGCAGGTAGGCTGATGGGCCCTGTGGTGACCTTCCCAAGGGAAGGTCAGAGGAGATCCCATGGGTGGTACATCTCCAAGGTTCCTGACTCTGGATTGTCCTCCAGGCAAATTTCACATAGCCACCCAGACAGGGAAGTGTGTCCTGGTAGTGGGGCAGACCACATGATTTGGAACAGAACTACTGACAGAATTCCTGTAGACAGCCTGTCATGCTCTAGCTATGTGAGCCTGGGAAATTCCTTGGTCCTTTTGGTCCCATCAAGTTTGTAGACTACCAAGAGCTGTCTGCTGTTGTTGGGAGGCCACACATGTGATAACAGGTTCCTTCTGCTGTGCAAGGTGCAGAGGGACACCTGCAGAGTGGACGAAGCCAGGCAGCTCTTAGGCCAAGGCATATCTGAACCCATAGGGAACAGCCATGGGTCCCTCGATTGACACTGAGGATAGAACAGTCTGGCCTAGGAGGTACTGAATACTCCTGTTGGGAGAAGTCTGTGTGACTGATGTGGAGAGGAGGGACGAATGAGTTGAGTGGCAGGGCTATTTCTCCAGGGAAGGTAACTGTAGCGCAGCCTCTGAGTGCCAGATCTCCCAATGATGCCTCCAACTTTACTGCTGCCTGGTGAAGATTTGCCACCTCAGCTCTTCAGCTTGACAGCTGGACCCGAGGGAACTTTGTGTGTGCGTGCCTGTGTGTGTGTGTGTGTGTGTGTGTGTGTGTGTTTAAGATCTTAATCCTTTCTGAATGTCATTAAATGTGTCATCAAGAGAGCTGGGCAGCCTTGCAGGCATACATGAAGGCAGAGCGGTGATGGTTACGACTTCAGAGCAGGAAGGACTCCACTCTACCTCCAACGGGCTAACCTGCTCATTAGTGGAACCTGTGCCAGGAAGAGCCTCTCCCTCCCAACACTGTCCCAGCATTTCTGAGCGTGTCCTTGCACCTTGGACTGCCACAAGCCTTTCCCTGAATCCAGCATCTACTGTGTTATTAACAGAGGTTTAGTGAGCACTTCCAGGTTCCAGGCTTGCTCAACCACCCACACACCTTCCAGTCATGCCACCTGGGATTTATAGATGTATATTCCCCTCCTAGATTCCCCGAGTCCCAGATGTTAAATGGCAAGGAACGGGGAAGGCACTTGTAACACTTGCAGTTAGTAGTCAATTAGACTGGGGGAGGGGGGCAATAACTTGAAAGACAGAGTGAGATTCAAAATGACTCAGCCCTCACCCAGAACAGATGACACAGTGGGGAGACAGCACAAGCATCCCTTCCCAGTGATGTCAGTGAAGAGTGGGAAGGTGCAGACAGAAGCAAAACACATCACCAGGATATGAGACTGAGGCTGCAGCCTGGAGCCAAGGGCACAGCGCTCTGCCTGAGCTATCGATTCAGGCCACAGGGATTTCTGGTCACTACAAATCATGTCATTGACCTCTGTGATTGAGTGGATTGATCTCTCTACAGTCTCCCCCTCTGTATCCCCAGAGAGAAATCCTTACAGACAGGTAGACCTTGACTAGGGAGCTAGTTCTTATCTGTGACCAGCATGTATGGTGTCCTCACCTCCAAGCCATATGGCCAGTTTCTACACTTCGCTATCTGGTGTGGATACAGAGCCTGAGACTGAGGTGTGGTGGTATATTCCTGTCATGTCAGTGCTTCAGAAACTAATACAAGAGGATCAGAAGTTCAAGACCAGCTTGGGCTACAAAGTGAGAGAGCAACAATAAAACAAACAGAAGCCAGGGTTTAGAGGAACAAGTGACTTGCCCAAGAAGACACAGCTCGTAAGTGGTAGAGATGGGTTCCCACACAGATTCTGTGACCCCAAAGATTGCCCTATGAACACCTGAGAATCAAAAGGCAAGTCTTTGCTTTTGTGCAGAAACTCTCAGAAACCAAGGGAGAACTTGATCAGTATCTGGCCCTGCTTTAATCCCTGCTCATCGAAGCTAGTCCATACCCAAGGCCATTCTGCTTTATTGAGCGATGGCTAACTGCCACAGCACATATATAGAATTCAGGCTTGTGCTACAGATCTTGTGTGTCATCACCGATACACATCACAATTTTATAAAGCCTGTAAGGTGTCCACTGTCACTCCCATTGTACAGGCCATTCTGAATGGTGATATAAACTCTAAGTAATCAAATTAGGGTAGAGCCCTGTGCACCGAACCAGCTCCTGTGACCAACACTGAAGACAGGCAGTCACATCACTAGCAATCTTTTAAAACCAGTATTTTAGCAGGGTGTGTGGTCACACACCTGTAATCTTAACACTTTGGAGGTAAAGGCAGGAGGACCAGGAGTTCAAGGTCATCCTTGGCTGGAGAGTGACATTGAGACTGCCCTGAATTATGTGAAATACTATATCAAATACAAACAAACAAACACAGCAGCATTTTTTGCATAGTTTATAGAAGCCAGTATGCATCCCTAGAGCTCCACATCTGTTAGGTAATAAATATTTGTAGAGTAGATGAAAGAATACATGAATAAATAAAGTAACATTGCTTAGAGGTAAATGTTCTGCCAGTGTTAATTTGAGTTTTTCCAAATGGCCAAGGGAGATGTTGGAGACACCCGCCTTCAAACTTTTCAGGCTAAAACCACTGCAGCTGTGCCTTAACAGCAAGGCCACCAATTCACCTGCACCATGGCATGGACTCAGAATATGTTTTGGGAACCAGCCCCTTGGTCTATGCTGGTCTGTGCTGCGCAGAGGTGAGGTGTGGTGTTCCAGCTTGCCATCGTCTTCCTGTCTTCTGTCCCTATCACCTTCACAGGATTTGTCCTGACCTTATAGACCTGACAGCCATGAGTTTCAAAACAGGTTATGAGGGGATGCTGCCTGGTCCACAATCTCCCTTGATGTCTTTTACTACTCTGTATGTGTAGATTCCTGTGTCATTTGGTCCCAGCCAGTCCCTCCAGCCCCCAGCTGATGCATGGACCTTAGGAAAGTCTTGGAAGGTAATAAGGTTATAAAAGGAGACAGTGATGCATGCTTGTTACTCCAGCACACAGGAGGCAGAGTGGGAGGATCTAAGCAAGTTCAAGGTTAACCTGGTCTACATAAGACCTGTCTTTAGCCGGGAGGTGGTGGCGCACGCTTTTTAATCCCAGCACTCGGAAGGCAGGCGGATCTCTGTGAGTTTGAGGCTGGGCTGGACCAACAGCCTCCAAAACAATACAGAGAAACCCTATCTCGTAAAAACCAAAAAAAAAAAAAAAAAAAGACCTGTCTTTAGGGGGCTGGAGAGATAGCTCAGAGATTGCATGATGGCTGCTCTTCCCAGCATCCACATGACAGCTCACAACTGTCTATAATAACTCAGGTTCCAGGGGATCTGATACCCTCACACAGACCTACCTGTGGGCAAAACACAATGCATTTAAAGATTTATTTATTTATTATGTATACAGTGTTCTGTCTGCATGCATGCCTACAGGCCAGACAAGGGCATCAGATTTCATTATAGATGGTTGTGAGCCGCCATGTGGGTGCTAGGATTTGAACCTGGGTCCTCTGGAAGAGCAGCCAGTGCTCTTAACCGCAGAGCATCTCTCCAGCCCAACACAATGCATTTAAAATTAAAACATAAAGAAAGAAATTAAGACCTGTCTTTAAAAGATACCTATATCTCAATCCAAACATCGGAGCCAAATTTGGGTCCTTGAATTCCTGGTCTGGGAAGAACTGTGGAACCCCCTCATGGGGAGACAGCTTTGCTCCCCAGCTCCACCCTCATAGCTAGAGGGTCTCCTGCTCTGCTCAGTGAATTAGAGAACCCAAGAAAAAGGTGTCTCACTGCTCGGAATGTTGGAAGCTTTAGCCTTCCTCATCTCACACATGTGAATACTGAAGGCAAAAGAATTTGGGAGCCATGCCTAAGGTCACACAACTGGTCGGTCACATCTCCCATTGCTCACTCCTGCCAGGATTCCTAGCTGGCCCCTGGCCCAAGGGTCAAGACTCTAAACATGGGGAGGGTGAGGGAAAGGTCAATGCTGAGTAAGCTTGCCCTGGTAGGACCCTTCTGTCCCTGGAGACTACCCTGATGCATCACTGGTCCTGGTGGACTGTTCTGGGGCACAGAGAAGGGGCCAAGTTGCATGGGTCTGTCGGGGAGAGGGAAGGGACCAGCTGGGTGAAGCTGGGGCTTGCTCACTGCAAACAGTAATTAATGAGGAGCTGGTTTGGGCAGCTGGCCCTGCGCTATTCTGCAGTGCGGCCCTCACAGCGGCCAGGAGAGCGTGGGAATCTTTTGTCATGCAGATCCTGCTGCCTGTTTGTTTGCTGCCCTGGGGTTCCCCGCCCCCACCCAAAGTCCCCTGCTTTGGGATATGTATGGGTGAATACTGTGGATAGGCCAATAAAAGGAGAAAGTTATCAGACAGTTGTTAGATACTAAATTAAAGCTGGAAAAGAAGAAGAAAACAGAAAAAACAAGCATGACAAAGGTAAAGAAGATTTTCAGTTGCTATGGACTGGGAGAAGGACTTTTGAGTCCTCGGGTCATGATAGCTTGGGGTTTGTCTGTTCAATTTTTTCTGAGACATTACATAGCAAGAATTAGTCATAGGGATCTGGAAAGGGGGTGCCAAGAGGCAGGCAGTCAACGGTGCTCCCATGGGGACCTCTCTCTGGGTCCCCATCTAGGTGGTCTTGGGTCCTGGTTTAGGAACTCCCTCCTAAGATGTGGGCCCCCACCTTTGTAGAACTTGCAGATTTGGGCTCTCAGCCTGTTCTCCCTCCAGCCCTCTCCAGTGGCTAATTGCCTCTTGAGCCTTCAGGCATTTTTCAACTGGAGGTTTCTGCTTGCTCACCCAGGCCAGCCGCTATTCACCCTCTGTGCCCTGGGCTCTACCTCCTAGTTATTTTTAGTCTCCTGTGTCCTTCCCTGGAAACCAAAGCATTGATCACACTTAAATGCAACCAGAACAATAAATTTCCCATCTCCTCTCTGCCCACCTTTCCTCCTAGGACCAAAGTTTGTCATCCCACACACCAACAGCCTCGGAACTGCCCTCTCCTGGAGTGTGATGTCATCACTCTCTGGACCTTTCAAGGACACTCTCCCTCCAGAGAGGCCCCACTTGGGAGGTCCCGTGGTCCTTTTGTCCTTTAGCTTGGCTGGCAGGAGGTGGGAGGTGATGCCCGGTAGGTTTATAGATTCAGCTGAGTACAGAGAAGTGGAAGGAGGCAGGGGCCACCTGAACTAATGTGGGAAGCGGCTGCCACTGAGGCCAAGAGCACGGGTATTGGTCAACGTGGTTTTCAGGCTGGGGAATTGCTCTGTGATAGAGTGCTTGTCTAGCTTATGTAAGGCCCTGGGTTTAATTCCTGGTACTGGAGGAGAAGGAAGGATTTTTGTGTCAAGGATTTTGGTTCCAGTGCTGGAATGATATCGTTTCCTGTGTCTATGGTGAGTCTCTTAGCACCTGCCTCAAAGGTTAACCTTCAGGGTAGAAATGAGCCTTGAGGGTAGGAGGGAGAAATGTTTTTACACTGCCTACCCGAAGTGCTGGCTTTTTGTCACCACCAGACCGTTGCTGAAGCAGATGACCTGGTTTGGAATCAGTCCCACTTCTCCCTTCCCATCAGTAAAATGGGAAAGCTGAACCAAGGCGTTCATTCCACCCTACACAGATCTAGCTAGTTCAGAGGAAGCTGTGAGACAGTGAGGCTTCAAAAGAGAGAGGAGATGGAGCCCCTGCTGTGGAGCAGTTCTGCTCTGGTGGCAGAATGCAAGGGCCAGGGCTGGGCTGCACAGGGAGTCCTACATTCTTGATGGTTTTCACTCTCTCTGTGCCAGGCTCCTTGGCTGTGTCTGTGGCTGACATGACTGCACCTGTTGTGGGCTCTTCCGGAGGGGTGTATGCACTCGTCTCTGCCCACCTGGCCAACATTGTCATGGTGAGCAGCCCCTGTTCCCTGTGAATCTGCCCTCTCTCTCCTTTGCCATCACTGGGCTTGGACATTAATCCCCCTGTAGTTCTTCCAGCCTGGGCCAGCCTGGCTGGAGCACGGTTCGTGTCTATATCTTTCTCTGCAGACCCATTTCTGCTGGATCCTGGATCCTTCCAGATGAGGTCCTATGTTCTCCAGCCATGCTCAGCCTTCAGGTGTGCCTGTTTCCCTGTTCCACCTGGTCCCTCAAAAATCGTTAAGCTCTGGATACTGGTGTCTGTGATGAAACACCATGACCGAAAGCAACTTGGGGAGGAAAGAGTTTGTTTGGCTTACACTATAATATCACTGTTCATCAGTAAAGGAAGTTAGCACAGGAACTCAAGTAGGGCAGAAACCTGGAAGCGGGAGCCACAGAGGAGTGCTGCTCACTGGCTTGCTCGTCATGGTACCAGCCCAGCGATGGCACCACCCTCAATGGGCTGGGCTCTTCCCCATCAATCACTGATTAGTAAATACCCCACAGTCTTGCTTAACCCATTTTCTCGGGGGCGGGGGGAGGGGTTCAAGACAAGTTTCTTTGTGTAGCCCTGACTATATTGGAACTAGCTCTGTAGACCAGGCTTGTCTTGAACTCAGAGACCCACTGGTTTCTGCTTCCCAATAGTTTGAATCAAAGGTATGTGCCGCCACCTCTGGCTAACCTACACCCAAACTTATGGAGGTTCTCTTCTCTCAGATGACTCTAGCTTGTGTCAAGTTGACATAGAACTAGCCAGCACAACTACTAAACACAGTCTTTAGAATTCTTTGTCAGAGAGTGTGCAAAGAGGACTTTTGGGCTGAGGTGATAACCCAGTCCGTAAACTGCTTTTCACACAAGCATGGATCCAAGTTTGGATCCCCAGCAGCCACATAAAAAGCTGGGCATGGTAATGATGCACACCTGTAACCCCAGTGCCGGGGCAGCAGATGCCCAGAGTTTGCCATTTCGAGCCATTCTGTCCAAATCAGTGAGCTCCAGGCTTGATGCCTCCATATGCACCACAGGATACACACAGGCACACATATGTAAAAGAGCCTTAACGATCATGTCAAAACTTCTTGTAGAAAAAGCCCCCTTGTGGGGGGTACATGATATGCCCAGCGTCAAGCCCACACCTCCTGACAGTCATCCAGTGTTGTCCCCTTCTCCAGTCCCCCGCACGAGCACTGTCAGGGTCCCAGTCTCTTTCCCTCCCTCCTCTTTGCCATACAGTGAAAAGGGTCTGAGCATGGCCCAAGAGGACAGGCAACCTAGGTCCCAATCCCTGCTGCCCACTCCTAAAAGTCACCTGGGCCAGGACACGTGCTTGGGTTCTACACCTCTGAAGTGGGGTGATATGCGATAATTAAGAAAAAATGAAAATCAACACTTAAACACTAACTACTTAATTCCTCACTCCTTACAAAAGAACCCAGGAGCCGGGCGTTGGTGGCGCATGCCTTTAATCCCAGCACTCGGGAGGCAGAGGCAGGCGGATCTCTGTAAGTTCGAGGCCAGCCTGGTCTACAAAGTGAGTTCCAGGACAGCCTCCAAAGCCACAGAGAAACCCTGTCTCGAAAAACCAAAAAAAAAAAAAAAAAAAAGAACCCAGGTTGCTGGGCAGTGGTGGTGCATGCCTTTAATCCCAGCACCTGGGAGGCAGAGGCAGGCTAGTCTCTGTGAGTTAGAAACCAGCCTGTTCTACAGGAGTGAGTTCCAGGACAGCCTCCAAAGCTACAGAGAAACCCTGTCTCAAAAAATCAGAAAAAGAAAAAAAAAACACCCCAGTAGACTCAAACTGGCATGTTGAAACCCTGTGTTGGAGGCAGACAGAGGCCTCTCTAATGGGACCTAGCTGTCTGGCCTCACACCCCCCTTAGCCCAGGAGCCTTTCTATGTTACAAACCTATTTCCCTGTGCCTGACATATTCATGCTGCCTATAAGATTTGGCAGGGAGGGAGGGGTCCAGATAGGTTACAGCTTCTCGGAGAGCCCTTCTGCTCCTGCCCTGTTCGCCTTCACCATTTTCCCACCTGGCAATTACGATGCTTGGTTGTACCAGGTTTTTGGAGTCTCTACATTCTCCCATGGTTTCATCTGGGTTTTTGCCTTTCAGTTTAGCAGGCCATTGCCACACAGCCTAGGAACTCAATCCTACCTCAGCCTTCCAAGTGAAGAGTGTGCCTTCTCTCCCTCCCTCCCTCCCTTCTTTTTGTTGGGGCAGGGCTGGGGTGGGGTTATCCCAAGCTGGCCTGGAACTCCCTGTGTCGTCCAGGATGACCTCAGACTTGCGGCAATCCACCTGCTTTGGTAGCCCAGCACACCTGCTGGGATCCTGGAATCCCTGCTTCTAGAGCAGCCAGTCCAGTTCTTACTGCCTCTCTCTGAACACTCCCCTCTTTTCACTTCCACCCCCTTTGTGAGTTGTGAGAGCCAGGGGTAGGGGTGGGGAGAGGAGAGGCTGAGTGACTACATTTGCTGCTGAGCTAAATTCTGGCAACTTCCAGTATGTGTTAGTAGAGAGATTGCAGGTGGGTGTGGGAAATCGTGTCTGAGTGTGAGGGCTCGGGGTGTGTTCCTGTTTACACACACAGCGCAGTCTGCTGAGGGTCTATGTGCACAGGGCTGCCTCACATGGCCCCTTTAAGTGGGTCATTCTCTGTCAGTGCTGTCTTTCCTCAGACACAGCTATTCCTCTGAATTCTGCCTCCTTCACCCTCCCCCTGCCCCAATTCCTCTCAGTTGGAAAAGAAAGTACTGACCTCCTCCCTACCGTTCCTGTGAGATAGGGATGGGGACAGGGACGGTGGGGGATGAGCAGGCACAGTGGAATGAGAACACAGGAAAGAAGAAAAAGGCAGGGGTGTATGAAGATCTGCCCACTCTCCAGCTCACGAGATGCTGCTGTGGTACCCACAAGTTCCCATGGGGAGAAGAGTCTACTCAACACTGACAGTCTGGCCACAGGCACATGGGGCCCTGTGAAACAGTTTTGTTCAGTTTACACTCCTGTCTGGTGAGCAACCCATAGCCATAGAGATGAGCTGTCTGCTTTAAAACCCTAGGCCATACCAGAAGAAGCAGCTCCCTGCCTGCCTCCTGGGAACTGACGCTCACTGGAGTTTGCTGTAATGGGCCTCTCTAGAGAGATGCGTTGTGCTTGTGACACTGGAGAAGGCATAGACTCATGACAAAAGTCAGTTTCCTTTCATCAAGGGACTACCTTTGCCCAAATTAGCTCAGTGCTGACATGTATCAGGCCAACCCATTTGAAATAGTACATGCCTTTTGTCCCAGCACTGGGGAGGCAGAGACAGTGGATCTCTGTGAATTCAAGTCTAAGAGTTCCAAGACAGCCAAGGCTACATAGAGAGACCATGATTTTTTTTTAAGTACCATTTCTGTGGTTGGAGAGTGTTTATTTTATTTATTTATTTATTTATTATTATTATTTTTTGGTTTTTTGAGGCAGGGTTTCTCTGTATTGTTTTGGAGGCTGTCCTGGAACTCACTCTGTAGACCAGGCTGGCCTCGAACTCACAGAGATCCGCCCGCCTCTTCCTCCCAAGTGCTGAGATTAAAGGCGTGCGCCACCAACGCCCGGCTAGAGAGTGTTTAAATGTTTGCAGTTTCATATACTTCAACCTAGTAGATATACTATTGATGTACTTCCAAAATGAGAGTGGAGTGTTTATTCATTAGACAGTATCTCATCAAAGTAAAAGGAAATCTAGATTGAGAGCCATCTGCTGGCTACATCTGTTGCTATGAATATTTGGGTCTCCAATTGTTCTCATAAGGTAGTTGTTACAAACTAGAACATGCTTTCCACATGACAAACCACCACTCAGCAGTGAGAACCTGTGTGTACATGCACATGCAATTTGTATATGCAACTCATGACCTTTATGTCTAATTTGTGTGAGGCTGGAGTGAGGGGTCATGTGTGCCACAGTTCAAGTGTGAACGTCAAAGCACGGCTTTGAGAGTCTGTCCCACTCACCTTGTGGTTCCCTAGGACGGAACTCAGGCTTGGTGACTGGTGCCTTTACCTACTCAGTCATCTTGACTGCCTTATGTGTGTTGGTGTTTTGCCTACATGTATGTCTTTGTGAGAGTGTCAGATCCCCTGGAACTAGAATTGCAGACAGTGAGCTGCCATTTGAGGGTGCTGAGACTTGAACACAGGTCCTTTGGAAGAGCAGCCAGAGCTCTTAACCACTGAGCCATCTCTCCAGTCTAGAAAATTTGTTCTTAAAGCTTCTGATATATCACAAGAAAATGTGTAGCACTTCTGTTCTCAGGTCTAGCTGTTAAGTTAGAGGTTTTCTTTACATAAATGTATGTCTTATGGTTGTAGTGATATATACCTGTAATCATAGCATTTAGGGGGTTGAGGCAGGAGTATCAAGAGTTCAAGGCAGGGGCTGGAGAGATGGCTCAGAGGTTAAGAGCACTGCTTGCTCTTCCAGAGGTCCTGAGTTCGATTCCCAGCAACCACATGGTGGCTCACAACCATCTACAATTCAATCTGGTGTCCTCTTCTGGCATGTAAGCAGAACATTGTATATGTAATAAATAAATAAATCTTTAAAAAAAAAAAGAGTTCAAGGCCAGCCTGGGCTGCATAGCAAGCCGGTGTCTCAAAAAGAAAACAAGGAGCTGGGAAGATGGCTCAGTAGGTAAAGAGTTGGCTGCAAAAACATAAGGTCCTGAGTTCAGATCCTCAGAACCATGTCAAACTGGATGTGGCACATATCTGTGATTCTAGTATTCCTCAGGTGAGATGGGAGGTAGGACAGGAGAATCCCCATTGGCTCATGGACCAGCTGGACTTGAAAATGAAGTAGCAAACAGTAAGAGACTGTCTAATCAAAGTGGGAGCAAGAGGTTGTCCTTGACCTCCAGAAGTGTACCTGGCACATATGTGCCTTCACTCACAGACATGCAGACACACATATATACAAACACACATCACATAGATCAAACCCCCAAAAGTGTGTGTGTGTGGTTTTTTTTAAACTTCCAATTTACACCAAGGAATTAAAGTGGGAAAATATTTCAACCAAGGACGAGGCTCACAAAAAAGGCTTTCAATCAAGACTTCTTATTTTAAACTCTGGAAATAGAAAGATCCACCTGATTGAATAATTTATTAATTGCCTGCTGCTGGGGCCCATAAGCCAGAGTTCCATTTTTAAATATGCAAGATATTTACTTACACTTTGCTGTGTGTTAGGTGTTTTCATAAAATATTTGAGAGCCAAATCTTTTTGCAAACTGAATTTCATTGTTAAAACTCAGGAAAGATAACTGCTAAAAAAACAGAGAAAAGCCTCTGCCATAAGGTTTATGTAATTAAATGAGTAGCCTCTTGTAGGACAGATAAATCAGGAATGATTTATATGCCATGCTTTTGCGGTGTGGGCACATACACTCGTCTGTGTGTCTGTGTGTGTTGTACTGAGATTGAACACACATGCTAAGAAAGTGCTCTTAGTTGGTTGGGTGAACATGATATTAAGGCAGCTGGTTATCTTGTTCTCTGTGACTGAGTCACCCTCTCACCCTGGGAGAGAACGGAATGAAAGGGCCTTTGAAAGGTCTGGTTCCCCGGGCTGGGCTCTTCTACATTTAAGGCAGCAGCAATGCCTATGCATGAGACTCCTCTTCTCCCCTGTTTTTTCCTTGCACTCTTATTATTGGAGGGGATAATGGGTCGTGAAATGGCCAGGGAAGACTTTCCAGTTTAACCCCTTCACTGCTGGGAGATTACTATTCACTGGGATTCCCTCAGCTCTGGGAGCAGCAGGGTAGACAACAAAGACAGATGAAATGTTTCAGTCTATTAGAGGGTGTTTGACAGAGCTGTGGACTGGGAGGACCACCATCTGCCTGTTACCCTCATTCTCTTCCTTAAGTGCATGCATGGGGTTGGGCTGGGTAGACCTGGCACTCCTGAGCACTAATTTGCAACTGGGACCAGGCAGGTTTGCATACTCGTGAAGCTAAAGGACTGGAAGCCACACCTGTAATCCTAGGAAAATATGGAGTCGAGGGCATCTTGTGGCTGCAGGGTGAGTTTGAGGCCAGTCTGGGATACCTGGACCCTGTGTCAAAACAAAACAAAACGAAAAACCATGAACTTGGCCTCAGTAGTGCTACGGTAAAGCAGAGCTTCAACTTCATCCAGGGTCACTTGGACTCTATACTTGTTTGTTTGTTTGTTTTGAGACAGGGTTTCTCTGTGTAGCTCTAGCTGTCCTGGAACTCACTCTGTAGACCAGGCTGGTCTCAAACTCACTGAGATCCACCTGCCTCTGCCTCCTAAGATTAAAGGCATGCGCTACCACTGGCCGAAATTGACTTCCTTATAACTTTTCCTTTCTTCTTTTTCCTTCCTTCCCTGCTTCCCTCTTTCTTCTTTCCCCTGGGTCTTATATTTGCTAAGGAAGCTCTCCTGCCATCCTCCTCCTTCCCTCCCCGTGGTAACCATTCCATGTGCAGTCCAATAACATCAAGTGCACTCGCACTCCTGGGCAGCAGCCAGCACCATGCTATTTACCACACTTTTTTTTTTTAAGCCATGTGGCCCACCACCTTCCTGCTGCAGAAGGCAGGAGGCTCACTTCAGGGATTGGATTGCTGGCTCCATGGGAGTCACTGACCCCTGCTTTGTTCTCTGTCGCTAAGGTCAGATGCTGTGACAGACATTAGCAGTCCCAGTGTTACCCTGCCATCTGCTTCTAAATAGAAAATTCAGCAATCAGATATTAGACATTCTAGTTCGGGGGGGGGGGGTCACGTGCTCCCCACCTCACTACTGAAGAAGGGCTTTTGTGGACAGCGTCTCAGCAAGTTTCCCAAGCTGGCTTGGAACTGGCCATCCTCCAGCCTTCAAGTGCTAGCTGATCCTCCTCCTCTTCTAGTTGGAAAGAATTTAAGTTTATTGAATACAAAGCACTTGTGATTTGCAAAGTAATTTACCAAAGGGGTATTGTTTAGACAATAAATTTTAAAATACTCCTTATTTAAATTTTTTGTCTTACTCACTTATGTGTGTATGGTGCTGGGGAGCACGTGTGCCATGGTACATGTGTAGAGAGATTAGGGGACAACCTGGAGGAGTCAGTTCTCTCGTTCCACTGTGTAGGTCCTGCAGATAACATTCAGCATACTTGGAGGCAATTCATCTAGCCAGCTGACAAATAAGTTGTGATTTTTTAAGTCTATAATTGTGCCGGGTGTTGGTGGCGCACGCCTTTAATCCCAGCACTCGGGAGGCAGAGGCAGGCGGATCTCTGTGAGTTCGAGGCCAGCCTGGTCTACAAAAGCTAGTTCCAGGACAGCCTCCAAAGCCACAGAGAAACCGTGTCTCGAAAAAAAAGTTTATAATTGCACATTTGATTTTTCAAAGTTTACATGACATCACCAGAGTGCTAATGTACACACAGATATCAACTGTAGAAAACACAGAAAGATCAGTGTCTGACTGGAGCAGGGGAACATCTTTCTTTTTGTTTTAGTTTTTTGAGACAGGGTTTCTCTGTGTAGCCTCGGCTGTCCTGGAACTCACTTTATAGAACAGGCTGGCCTTGAACTCACAGAGATTCACCTACCTCTGCCTCCCAAGTGCTGGAATTAAAGACTTGTGCCACCACAGCCTGGCAGGAGTCATTTCTTTATCTTAAGAAAATGAAACTTGCCTCTGTAGATGAATAGGCTAGCCTGGTCTACTGATGGAGTTCCAGGACAGCCTCCAAAGCTACAGAGAAACCCTGTCTCAGAAAAAAAAAAAAAAGAAATAAGAAAACGAAACTCCTACAAGTGAAAGTTCATTCACAATGTTAAGACATTAGAATACTTCAAGCAAATCCTCTTTGCCTTTAAGAAACAAGGATGTTGCCGGGCGTTGGTGGCGCACGCCTTTAATCCCAGCACTCCGGAGGCAGAGGCAGGCGGATCTCTGTGAGTTCGAGGCCAGCCTGGTCTACAGAGTGAGTTCCAGGACAGCCTCCAAAGCCACAGAGAAACCTTGTCTCGAAAAACCAAAAAAAAAGAAAAGAAAAAAGAAAAAAAAGAAACAAGGATGTTTTCTCTACAGCTTCCCCAAGTCCTGTTTCCTCCACTGTCACCACTATTTGGCCCCTGTGAAGTTATTCACTCATGTTACTACAACCTCAAAGGATCAGGAGAGCATGGAGCAGGACCTGGGAGGGAACAGAAGTCCCTGGCTGTGCCCAGTTGCCTCCTTAGCCAGGACCTGTCCAGAACCCTGTCTCATCCTCATCTCTGTGTGTGCATGTGCATGCGTCTGTAAGTGGAATTGTGCTCTGGATGCCCTGCAGGGCTGCCCCTCAAAGAAACCCTACAGAGGAGACTTTGGTTAAGGTGAAAGACCCTTCGGTAAGATGGTATTCTGTTCATCGACTCTGGAGGCTCAGAGTTTTCAGAGACTCAGGAGAGAGAGACTTGTTTGAAGCCATCTGGTCCACTCCCCTACTGAAGCTCCCTCCTCAGGTGCTGAAGCCCCATTAGGAACCTTGGTGACAGGAAACTCATGACCCACACAACTGGTCATTCATTATATTTTGTTCATATAAGAAATGGAAACTTGGCTGGGCTTTGGTGGTGCACGCCTGTAATCCCAGCACTCGGGAGACAGAGACAGGCAGATGGGTGTGAGTTCGAGGCTAGCCTGGTCTACAAAGGTCTTCCAGGACAGCCAGGGCTCCACAGAGAAACCCTATCTCGATAAACCAAAAAGGAAAGAAATAAAGAAATTTGTCTTGAGCAAGAACAATGATTACATGCTGCCATGAGAGAGTTACTGAAAAGAGAGTGTAGACCGAATAGCTCCATTGACCCCTGAGTCTGAGGGTTGTAGGACCCTCATTCATTCTTCCTAGGCATGATGTCTAACCCCGACGGTTTCACTTTGACTTTGCTGGGTTCCTGCCCCACATTTCTTATCACCTATGAGGCACAGCAAAGAATCATGCTCTCAAGGAGTTCCCTGTCTGAGGTGGGAGATAGAGACTCTTGCTGGATCTGCATGCTCAACTTACCATTGCCCAAAATCAGCCGGGTGTTGGTGGCGCACGCCTTTAATCCCAGCACTCCGGAGGCAGAGGCAGGCGGATCGCTGTGAGTTCGAGACCAGCCTGGACTACCGAGTTCCAGGACAGCCTCCAAAGCCACAGAGAAACCCTGTCTCGAAAAACCAAAAAAAAAACAAAAACAAAAACAAAACAAAGCAAAACAAAAACCCATTGCCCAAAATCCCAAAGCCAAGCTGGATCGTTGTACTGCTAAGCCCTAGCCCTCACTCAGTACATTATGGGATGGCTTCTTGTGTACCTGCAGAGGAGGGGCCTGGTCCCAAACTGACAGACCTCTCTCTTTCCTTTAGAACTGGTCAGGCATGAAGTGCCAGTTCAAGCTGCTTCGGATGGCTGTGGCCTTGATCTGTAGTGAGTACTGATGGGCACTTAGAGGTGTTGGGGTGGGGGCATTGAGGGTGGGGCTGCAGGACTACAGTGCAGAGATTCAGGCTCTGTCCTTGCCTTCCAAGAACTTGTGGTAGAAGAGAAAAGGTGAGGCATTATCAGTAATGTGCCAGAGCAGGGACATCCTGAGGAAACCTTTCTCTTTACCCTGCTTCAGTCTTCATGATCTTTTGTTGCTTTGTTTTTGGAGACAGGGTCTTGTGTTTCTCTTGTTGGCCTTGATCTTACTAAACCTTGGACTTTTGATCCTGCTTTCTTCTCAAGTGCTGGGATTAAGACTTGTGTCACCACACTGGTTTTTATATGGAACTGGGTTTTGTGCTTGCTAGCCAATCACTCTCCCAGCGGAACCACATCACCCTTTTGTGTGTGTGTGTGTGTGTGTGTGTGTGTGGCTTTTCTAGACAGGATTTCTCTAAGTAGCCGAGAACTCACTCTGTAAACCAAATGCTGGGATTCAACTTTAAAAATTATTCATTTTTATTTTATGTATATGAGTGTTTTGTCCACATGTATGTCTGTGCACCATGTGCATGCCTGGTGCCTAAGGAGGTCAGAAGAAGGCATCAGACCCCCTAGAACTGGAGTTATAGACAGTTATGAGCCACCATGTGGGTGCTGGGAGTTATATGCAATAGCAATAAATACTCTTAACCACTGAGCATCTCATCTTTCCAGCCCCACTTCTTAAACTCTTTATAGACATAAAGTGTGCAAACAGAAAAGGACCCAGTGACCACCGGGATGAAGAGAAATAGCTGCATGACTTTTTGGGTTGTGCACTTGACCTTTTAGAATGTGTTTCTTTATATGTGCACCTGTGTGTGTGTGTGTGTGTGTGTGTGTGTGTGCACATCTACACCAAGTAGGGTTTTCAGGCTGCAGAGACATCTCAGAGGTTAAGAGCACTTACTGCTGGGTCAGGCGTTGGTGGCACACGCCTTTAATCCCAGCACTCGGGAGGCAGAGGCAGGCGGATCTTTGTGAGTTTGAGACCAGCCTAGACTACCAATCGAGTTCCAGGACAGCCTCCAAAAGCCACAGAGAAACCCTGTCTCAAAAAACCAAAAAAAAAAAAAAAAAAAAAAAAAAAAAAAGAGCACTTACTGCTATTGTAGAGTACCTGGGTTTGGTTCCCAGCACCAACACAGCAGTTCATAACTGTTTGTAACTCTAGTTTCAGTCCTCTTTTTGGCCCTGTGGGCATTGAACATGCCTGGTGCACACACAAACATTCATGCAGGCAAAACACATGTACACATAAAATAAAAACAAAGAACTTTCTCTAAAAATAACTTGCAGTCTTAACCAATGGTATAGCACATGTCTATACTCCTAGCACTTTGGGAAGCTGGGGCAAGAGGGTTGGAATTTAAAAAATTTTTTTTGGAATTAAAAAAAATTTTTTTTGGTTTTACGAGACAGGGTTTCTCTGTTTTGGAGGCTGTCGGTCCAGCCTGGCCTCGAACTCACAGAGATCCGCCTGCCTCTGCCTCCCGAGTGCTGGGATTAAAGGTGTGCACCACCAACGCCTGGCGGAATTTAAAAAATTTTTATTTACTCATTTTCATGTGCATGGGTGTTTTTGCCTGCATCTTCATGTCATATGTACACAGTTCTCATGGAGACCAGAAGAGGGTGTCATAGCCCCTGGAACAAATTACAGACAGTTGTGAGTTTACAGTTGTGAGCCACCATGTGGGTGCTGGGAATCAGATCTAGGTCCTGTGAAGAGCAGCCATTGCTCTTAACTGCTAAGCTATCTCTCCATCCCCAAGAGAAATGAATTTTGAAGCCAACCTGGATGACAGAGTAAAATGATGTCCAGGGCTGCCCCAGCCCCCACACATACTGAAAAACTTGCTCTTGTAGTAGAGTCACAAACTGTGGTGATTTCTATTCTTAGCTTGTGCTGGGACCTTAATCAGGACAGGTCAGTTCTACTGACTGAGAGGACTGGACATAAAGACAAGCAGGGCTCAGCAACTGACCAAATATAAGAGGACATATCTTAAGCTTGGTGCTATACACTTTTAATGCCAGCACTTGTAGGCTGAGATAAGAGGAACTCTGTGAATTCAAGGCCAACGTGGTCTATATGAACAATTCCAGGCCAACTATATACAGTGTATAGTTGTGACAAGAAATAAAGCTAATGAGATCATAAGGGTTAGATAATGGTGGCTTTAAAGGCAAAGGCAGAAGCATGCATCACCCTACACACGCTGGGAGCTCACTGCAGGCTTTTGACAGGAGAGAACCTGAAGGGTGTGACAGATAGAAAATTAGCTGCATTATGATGTAGAAAAATGGATTGAGGGGCTAGAGAGGTGGCATGGTGGTTAAGAGCCCTTGCTATAAAAGTGAGTAGATCTGTGTTCACCCTACCACCTGCATAAAAAAGCTAAGCACAGTACACATGCCTGGGATCCTAGCATTGGGGGCTAGATAGAGGATGCTCCCAGGAGCTCACTGGCTAGCCAGCTCATCCTAAAGAGTAAGCTGTGAAGGCTTCAGGTACAATTAGAGACCTTATCTTTAAAAACAAAACAACAAACAACAAAAAACAGTGGAGAGGGCCTGGAGACATGGCTCAAGTTTAAGAGTACTTGCTATTCTTGCAGAGGACTTAGGTTCAGTTCCAAGCACCACACAGCAGCTCACAACTATAACTCCATTTCCAGGGGCTATGACATCCTCTTCTGGAATCCACAGGTACCTGGCATGCACACAGTACACATATATACATGTAGGCAAAACACTCATACATAAGTTTTTAAAAGTAAGGTGGAGAGCAATAGAGGAGGGCATGTAATGTCTTCTGTCCTGCATATGTGTGTGCGTGCACATGAACACACACAGTGAAAGGGGAATGAGACCCAAAGCTTCATGGCTTATCTTGAAATGCAAAGAGTGAGAGAGGGAAGAAAACACATTCTCCTTCACTTTCCAAAATATGTATATGGAGAGCATATGATTAGGTTTAGTGCATAAGTGTAAATGAGTCTCAGAGAATTCTAAGATCACCTAGCTCAAAGGAAATATAGCCAGAATATTGAAATATGCCATTACCAATGCTCCACAGTTTATTCCTGCTTGGCAGGGACCACCAAGGTTTTTCTCAGCCTAGGCTAACCCCCTGCAGTATAGTAAGAGGAAGACACAGCCAGAGTAAACCCTGATGTAGTCGGCTTGTGAAGGCTCTCCTCAATTTCACCTCCACAATCCCTGCCTCTTACTTTAGGCCTTTGGAACATCAAGTCTGTCTCTGGCCCACCAGGAGCCTTCTTGGATGGATGAATGGATAGATATAGATATAGATAATCACATTGTAAATGCTATAAGAGCTAGGGCTGGAGAGATGGCTCAGTGGTTAGGAGCATTCACTGCTCTTCCAAAGGTCCTGAGTTCAATTCCCAACATGCACACGGCAGCTCACAACTATCTGATTCCATCTTCTGGTGTGCAGATGTACAGGCAGACAAGGTATCCATGTACATAAAATATATAAATAAAGCTTTAGAATCATAAAAGCTAAAACAGTGATGGAGAGGTGGGAAAGGAACCATCATCTTGTACACACTTTTCCTTTATTGGCCCCAGGACCCCCTAAGCAGCTGCAGGGAAGCACCACCCAGTAGTGCCAGAGCTCAACCCCACTACTCCTTTTCCACCCTCTGCTGGCTGTCCGTGGATCTGCAAGGCCCTCTGAGGACATCTAAAGGGAAGGAGGTTCCTGGGACAAATGGTTAACGGTGGAGAGGAACTATGTAGTGCAACATTCTCCTCAAAGGGCTCTCTTTTAATCTGTCAGATTTGCCTTGGTTTCCCTCCCAGTCTGGAAAGTAAGGCTAAGAATACCTACTCTCTCAGGAACTAAAGAGATGACTCAGTGGTTAAGACTGCGTGCTGCTCTTCCAGAGGACCCAAGTTCAGTTCCCAGAACACACATCAGGCAGCTCACAATGATCTGTAACTGCAGCTCCAAGACACCTGATGCCCTCTTCTGAACTCAGCAACACCTTCTCATTCAACACACACACACACACACACACACACACACACACACACACACACACACAAAAAAAAATACCTGCCTTCAGCCAGACTTGATGGGGAGATAGAGCTCTGTGAATTCATAGACATCCTTGTCTACACTGAGTTTCAGGATGTCTGGGAGGGAGAAAGTCCTTTTGCTGCCCCTTGGGTATTGGGAAATGGGATGGCACTATTACCCAACCCTTTCCTTCCAAAGACACAACATCCTATTTGATTGACTGACCTAGAAGGTTCACAGAGGGACCATAGTTGGTTACATGCTGGAACTGGTTAAGGAAGAAATTCTAAGATATGTTGGTAAAAGTAGAGTTCAGACTATTAGTTTAATTCTTTCTTTAAGCACAGAGACACTGGCTCTCAGGATTTCTGGGTAACACACAGAAACACTCTGGAGTGTTCAGAGCATATAGGAGTTGTTGGCCATGTTCTGCTTGTGTAGTCGGGTACACTGGGGCTGAGCCTTTATACCAGTGGACAGATGAAGAAGTGGCCACAGAGATGATAGGGCCTTGACAGAGCTGTGTCTTCCTTAGGGTCTTCTAGCAAAGGCGCTCCTAACGTTCAGATGACAGTTCAAATATTTCCTTTTTTTTTTTTTTTTTTTTTTTTTGGTTTTTTTTCGAGACAGGGTTTCTCTGTATTGTTTTGGAGCCTGTCCTGGAACTCGCTCGGTAGAACAGGCTTGGTCTCGAACTCACAGAGATCCACCTGCCTCTGCCTCCCGAGTGCTGGGATTAAAAGTGTACGCCACCACCGCCTGGCCAAACATTTCCTTTTTTTTTTTTGTTCTTGTTTGTTTTTTAGACAGAGTTTCCCTATGTAACAGCTCTAGCTGTCCTGGAACTCCCTCTGTAGACCTGGCTGGCTTTAAACTCATAGAGATCCACCTGCCTCTGCCTCCAAAGGGCTGAGATTAAAGGCCACCACTGCCTGGCTTCAAACATTTCATCTTAAGAGGCTCTGTCTGACTTCCCCCAAAGAATGCCCTCCTTTGTGCCCATCATAGATCTTTATATTGTCTCTTTGCCTCGTGTCTGTAGCTCTTAATGAAATTGACTTGTAATTGATTGTTGATTTATCGCCAAGCCCTGTAGGCTCTTGGGATACTTTTGTCTCCTTGATTACTATATTTGGCCTCGTGACAGTGAATGGGTGACTGGGAGGCCAGTGTGCCCAGCCCCTGCCCAGGACCCTGCTGTGATGTCTGTCTGTCTCCTCCCCTTGCAGTGAGTATGGAGTTCGGCAGGGCTGTGTGGCTCCGCTTCCACCCATCGGCTTATCCCCCATGCCCCCACCCAAGCTTCGTGGCACACTTGGGTGGCGTGGCTGTGGGCATCACCCTGGGCGTGGTAGTTCTAAGGAACTATGAGCAGCGGCTGCAGGACCAGTCGCTGTGGTGGATCTTTGTGACCATGTACACCATCTTCGTGCTGTTTGCTGTCTTCTGGAACATCTTTGCCTACACACTACTGGACTTGAAGCTGCCGCCACCCCCCTAAGGGACTGGAGGACCGAAGCAGGGAGGGGAAGAAGCATCCAGAGGAAATACCTGCATCTGTCTCTCATCACCGGCTTGGCAAGACCGGGGGGAGCAGGACTCTCTGGGCTGGGATATATGTGTTTCAGTTTAGAAGGATGGGGGAGGAGATGGATGCAGCTGCTGTAATTGAACTGATCTGATGCTCTGGGGTCAGGGGAAGGTCTAGGGTAGGGTGAGAGTAGCTGTCCTGTGTGCTCCCCTCTCACTGGCTGAGTGAGCAAGTAGCCTTCTTCCTGGTCCTCTACCTGGAGAGATCTTGTGACACAGAGAAGTTCTGAGGGCACCAACAGCCAGGCAGGCCTTCCCCAGCCCAGAGGTAACTGCAGGCTAGGTCATGCTCTCTCTGCAGCTCAAGGTCTGGTGCTCTGGTAGTAGACATGTTGGCTTTGATCTGGGGGAGCCCAGAGCACCCCAGGCTCAGAGCCTTTCATGTGTGAGGTAGCATGGCCCCTATGGCTGGGCAGGGTGGAGAGATGCTATATTCTTGCCCTGGGGGAATCTGTGAGAGGGCCCCATGCCTGGGGCAATGAACTTCATCCCAGGTTCCCCTTGGGAAAGGCCCAGGACCAGTTTTCTCTCTTCCTGCCTGTAGTTGTGAATACTGGCCTCTTACACCATTGCTCCTGCATCCATGCCCTATGTGGACTTTGGGGTCTTTTCTTTCCTCTCTACTGCCCTGACCCCACTTTGTGCCTCTTTTGGGTGTGGAGACAGGGTTTTGGTGTTTGTGTACATGTGCAATGTCAGGCAAGTCTGAACCTGCAAAGGGAGGAGGTGGGGACAATGTCTGTAAGGGATTGCTGGAATGGAAATCGTCAGTACGCTGCTGCGTGCTTGTCAGTGGCCTTGATTTTAGCATAATTCACTTCCCTCTTTCCCATGTGGCCCTCCCAAATACCTCTTAAGCATCACTGGTCAGTGGAGAAATTGTCCACGCAAGAGGGAAGACCAGACCCCCACCAGGACCTTTAAGAGGGAAGGCCCAACTGTGTTCTGGTTTCCTCTGGGGAAGCCTTCATGTCTCTTCTGCCTCCTGAAGAAGAAAGTCTTTGGGATGGAAGAAAGTCCAGGACAGTGATACTACGACCATCTCTCCAGGGAAGCTGTAGTAAAAGGTATTTTGGTGAATTTGCCCTAGAGAAGAGCTGCTGGGAGCTTGGGTGAATGTCCAGGGTGAGAGCAGCTGTAGATTAGTTAGATCTAGAGAGGAGTTGGAAGTGAAATTGAGGGAATGGCCTTGTGCTGCCCATATCCCAGCATCCTCAGCTGCCGGGTCAGAAGTTTAGCAAGGCACCCAGTGCCTCTGGCCCTCCAAGACAGTCTACTCAAGCTGGCACTAGGAACTGCTGGGAGCCCAAAGTGGAGGCTGTGAGGAAAATGACCTTTTATATGAGCTTTGGGACTCTTCAGCCCCCAAGAGTCTAGGATGAGGAACCACAGGGCTGGGAAGTGAGGGGCAGAGCACACAGGAACAAGGACAGGAGGATGGGAACTGCTCCTGGGTCCCCTCACCATTCCAGCAACAGTTGTTACCTGCTCCCTATTGTCCTTGAGTCCCTCACCTCTTCCTCTCTACTGTGGCCGCCAATCAGGGTTGGGATTCAGAGAGCAGTGTCACTCCTCATGCTGGTGGCTGTAGGTTTGCCTCAAAGGCTGGGGAATCCCCCAAACAGCAGCTATGTAGACTCGCTTGCTTTTAAAGGGGAGAGAAGTCATGGAAACCAGGGAAGGGAAACCAAGCCTTCAAAAAAGAAATTTCACTTTAATGACACCATTCATCACTCGTTTTTTAATTAGGAAAAGCTCCCTAATGGGGCTCTTTCGACTCTCAGTTTCCATGTGAACCATTCTTGCCTACAGCATTAGTGGAGGCATTGCTCACCGGACCCAGATCGTCCTCTAGTGTCCAATTCAGTTTGCAGATAATGAGGATTGCCCAATGCTGTGTGCTTCCCAGTGCTGGCTGCAAAGTGGTGACTCTCCTTTGCCTTAAAAACAGTGCCCGACAGTGAGCTGCCCCTCCAAGGACTAAGTAAGGGAAAAAGAAAACACTAGCCGCAACGTTGGTTTCTAAATATTTTTGTATTGTGTACATTCTGTATATTTTTGTTGTAACATATTATTTGAGCACAGATTCCATTAAAGATTTTTTTAAAGCTATCAGTTATTCAGGAAGTGACCACAAAGGCTGCCATGAAACTGTTTTGTCTGGGTCTGGCTCATGGTGGATGGGACAAGGAAAGCACTGGTAGTGGTGGGTTAATGAATGGTTTTGGGCACTGGTGATTGGCACTGTTTTCCTTAGCCTTCCCTGGGTGGTTGGTGAAAACTGATTGTTCTTCCCGTAACAATACACCCATTAAGGGAGATTCCTGGACAGTGGTTAGGGAACTCAGCCCAAGTGACAGTCTCAGTGCCAGTGTCCCCTCAGGTCTCTCTTCCTCACTCTGCACTGCTCTAGGGATTGATATCTGGCAAGGGAATGAAGAAACGGCAAACACATGGACTCAAGAACAGAAAAGCCGGAATGCGATGGCCATGGATGGAGAAGCCACGACCCTGCCCCACAAGCTCAGAGAGTTTATTATCTACTGTTGAACAGGGAAGTAGGCCGGGTACCTAATCTCAGATAGGCGCAGTCTCTGCAGGGACACAGTCTTCGGGACATAAATATGTGGAGGGGCAGAAGCTGAGCTGGGCATTTTCTACATACACCGTCTGCATTCACACTCAGAGCAGAAGAAACATTTGCCATCCCTCTGAGCCTCACTCAGGGAAGGCTTTGCCACTCAATCCCTTGAGACTGGCACATTGGGGTCCTTGACATGGCCTTGGTCATATCAGCAATACACATTCACTCAGGACTTCACTCACTACACACATGCCCTCACATATGCATGCACACAGACACACACACACACACACACGATTAATATATGATTATTATTATTAGAGAAGTACCCAAAAAACCACCTTGTCTATCTCAGTAAGCCTAGTCTTTAGGTTCTCCTAGGGGCCATCAACAACTTAATCTTGAAGAACAGGGCATGCTCAAGTTCACATCCAGAAGGGGAAATGAAAGCAGCATATATGTGCTCAAGGCAAAGCCTGGGACTTCCGAAGTTTAGCAACTGTGCTGGCTTTACATGGATGAGGACTGGAAAAGCCAACTGTGTGCCCATCTTTTCCAGATCAGCATCAGCCTCCATAGCTTCGCCGTTAACAACTAATGAATGCTTGAGGATTACATTGCCCTGTTAAGTGTAGAATGGGGGTCGTTTCCCTTCACCATCAATTTCCTGTGTATTACTGAAAAATGTTCCCAAACACTGCAGGAGTCTTACCAAAACTAACAACAAAAGTGCCTTTAGGCCGGGTGTTGGTGGCGCACGCCTTTAATGCCAGCACTCGGGAGGCAGAGGCAGGCGGATCTCTGTGAGTTCGAGACCAGCCTGGACTACCAAGCGAGTTCCAGGACAGTCTCCAAAGCTACAGAGAAATCCTGTCTCGAAAAACCACACACACAAAAAAAAGAGTGCCTTTAGTTCAGGCTAAGTAAACACCCACTTTACTTGTAAAGTGCAGAGCTGAGTTGGCTGCAAACACTTAACACTGGGGCTTCCTAGGCTCCAGATAGATACCTGAGGCATCAAGGCAACTCCTTGGAAAACCAAAAGTTGTTTAATGAAATTTGCCTTTGGCCTCCTCTCATATCCCTTTACTTTTCTGTTTATTCCTTTCTGTCAGATTCTCATTCATCATATAACTTACTAAAATGTTTACCAATGATAATTTTAAAAAATGAAAACAGGTGGTGGCAGCATGACTTTAATCCAAGCACTCCTGAGGCAGAGGCAGGAGGATCTCTGAGTTGGAGGCCATCCTGGTCTACACAGCAAGTTCCAGGACAGCCAGGCCTACACAGATAAACCTTGTCTAGAGGAAACAAGAAAGAAGGAAGGAAGAAGGGAGGAAGAGAGGGAGAAAAAGAAAAGAAAACATGCTGGTCATGAAAACAAGCCAGTTGTGGTGGCACACATCTTCGATTTGAGCATCTGAAGCATGGAACAGGCAAATGACTGAGTTCAGGGACAGCGGGCTATACAGAAAAATCCTATCTGGAGGAAAGGGGACAATTTACTAAGTCCCTACTTATGCTAGATAGTGAGGTAGACATTTTCATAGCTAATGTTTTTATTTTTCAAGACAGGGTTTCCCTTAGCCTTGGCTGTCCTGGAACTTGCTGTGTAGACCAGGCTGTCCTTGAACTCACAGAGGTCCACCTGCCTCTGACTCCCAAGTGCTGGGATTAAAGGTGTTCACTACAACCCCACTTGTTTTGTTTTTGAGACAGGGTCTCACTTATGTAGCCCTGGCTTGCCTGGCTGGTTTTAAACACACAAAGATCCACCTGCTCTCTGAGTGCTTGGAATGAAGGAGTGTGTCATCATACTTGGCCATTTTCATAGCTGCTTTACATGAAGTACTTATAAACAATCCCATATTTGTACAACAGTGGAAGCCTTGGAGTTTAGTCACTTGCTGATAGTAAATAGTATCACTGGATTTACATTTAGGCAATATATCTTTGGGTAGTAGGGGTTTGGTTTTTTTTTTTTTTTTTTTTTTTGAGACAGGTTTGAGGCCAACCTGGTCTACAGAGTGAGTTCCAGAACAGCCAGGACTGTCACACAGAAACCCTGCCTCAAAAACAAAAAAACAAAAAACAAAAAAAAAGTTTACCTCTTCCTTGTGCATTCTAACAGGTGACTAGAGTTTATTCACACTTGTGTATGTGTGTGTAAAGTACAATTTCCCATAAACTTACTGGAAATTACTAGAGGTGTGAACTTAGCTCAATTAAATAAAAATATTAGAAGCTGTGTTTATTATTACAAATATGGTTACATTTTTGATACAAGACAAACATATATTTCCTGTGTGTTGCACACAAGTACTAGTTTATTCCATATCTGAACATCACTTCAAACCTTTAAAATTTACTACATTTACTTATTAAAATTTGAATACAGTACAGGTTCCTGGTCATTAGCTATTTCTTCTCAGGATCAACAAGATAATCAATCCCATAACATGTTTCTCCTTGTCTTCAGTAGCAGTACAGAATTTATCAGACTTCTTTTTAAACATAAGACTACTGTCTACAATTGTAGAATGCAGTGGGCCTACATTGCCAAGGAAGTATCTACAAATAAACAGATATACTTTGCCTATATCCCCAAGTGACTTAATGCATTAGCTTATTATTTTGGGTAAAACATTTGCTTTTATTTTTATTATTTTAGATGTGTACGTTTATGTGCACAAACATATGGAGGCCAGAGGCCAACCCTGGATATCAATCCTCCGGAGCCTTCTACCCTTTTCGTTTTCCTATGTGTTAACTGATTGATTCTGAGGGATGTGTGTGTAGGGGGTCAGAGAGCAGCTTGCAGGAGTGGGTTCTCTCCACCTTTACACAGATTCTGGAAATAGCTCTTGGGCCATCAGACTTGGTGGCAAGAATCTTTATTAACACTGAGGTATCTCTCTGGCCCATTTTTTGTTTTCAAATAAGGTCTCTAACTGGCCTGAAGCTAACCAAGTAAGCTGGGTGTTAAGGGAATTCTGCCACCAGCCAGCTAGTCAACTGAGAGCAGCACTGTGGTCCAAGAGGCGATGTTTTGATGTTTTTATTGGGGATGGATGCGACTGACCCAAGGAGAGGCGGCCCTTTGGAGCAAAGAACTAGCAGCGGCAGGTGTTAGCGGTTTGCAACTGAGTTCCATTTCCCAGTTTGCCCTTTAATATTTGTGCATGGATTTTGATACTAAACAGTAAAAACAAAAAAACCCAAAAACAAACATTTGTCAGCTAGGCTGGTTGGTAGGACTATCTTGCCTCATCAGCACTAGGATTACAAAGACAGGCTACCACATCTGACTTTTGTATGTAGGTTCTGAGGATCAAACTCAGGTCCTCATGTTTGCATGGCAAGTACTTTACACTGACCGAACTATTTCCCTAGCCCTTACATTTAGTTTTTATTTATTTATTTTGTGTGTGTGTGTGTGTGTGTGTTTTTTTTTTTTTTTTGGTTTTTCGAGACAGGGTTTCTCCGTATTGTTTTGGAGCCTGTCCTGGAACTCACTCGGTAGACCAGGCTGGTCTTGAACTCACAGTGATCCGCCTGTCTCTGCCTCCTGAGTGCTGGGATTAAAAGCGGGCGCCACCAACGTCCGGCTACATTTAGTTTTTAAACGCCATTTGCCACACACTCTTGATTGGGAACTTTTAAAATGAAGATTTTTGTCTTATAGTCTCAAGATGTCGATGTCCTAATGTTGCTCATTTTTACAAAATGATTTCCAAGTGGCCAACCAAGTACATTAGGAAAAGATTCCAGAAAAGTGCTGCAGAGCCACTGACTATCCAGTTGTCAGATGGCTATAAAATGCTACTTAAGACTCTTTTCTATACTGCCTATAATTCAAGTTATTAAACTTTAAAGGCATATGAAAGCATTTATGAAGATCCTGAATTGTACTTCCCATTAAAGAAAAAGAAAGGGCATGGTGAGTCATGTCCCTAGGCTGATGAATGGAGAGAGAAGGCAGAAGGCCACTGTCAGTCACTTTGAAAGTTAGAACTCAGCTCTTAGCAGGAGTTTACAAGCAGTTAAGAATTCCTCAGGTTTACAGTGAGAACACAAGGCTTCTGATTTTCTAAACCAAAATCATCAGCAAATGGATTCATTAATGAGCTAGGCAGAACAAATATGCGTGTGGCTGCAGCTGGCACCCATGGCAATTAGAAACGGCCACCCAAGGGCACTTACAATTAATACAGGGTAAAACAATCTAAGGCTTGTGACACAGGCCCAAACTAAAATCAACATGCAATTGTAAAAGGAAGAATGTTTACTTTTTATTTTTATTTATTTATTTATTTGGTTTTTCAAGGCAGGGTTTCCCTGTGGCTTTGGAGGCTGTCCTGGAACTAATTCTTGGAGACTAGGCTGGTCTCAAACTCACAGAGATCTGCCTGCCTCTGCCTCCCTAGTGATGGGATTAAACATGTGCGCCACCACCCAGCACATTCTTTAATTTTTTTTAAAGATTTATTTATTGTGTATACAGTACTCTGTCTGCATGTATGTA